GAAAGCGTCCTTTAAACCCACGAATAGTGTCACCGTATTTGATTTAGCCTGAAATCCGAGCTGAGTGGGATCTGTAATGTGGACCAAGGTGTCCGCCGTGGAGCGGCCGGGACGAAAGCCGTTCTGAAAAGTAAAAGAAGGTAATTTGACTCTAGGAACATCCTGATACGTTCGATGACCATTCCTTCGGATATTTTAGAAGCACAGTTAGTAAATGATAGTAAAGTAAATGATAGGGCGATAGCTCGAAGGGTCAGAGGGAGGCTTAGAATACTTAAGTGTAGGGGCAAGTGTGCTAGAGCGCCAGGAGGGAGGGAAGAATCCGTTAACCCACGCATAATTAAAAGCCAAAAGAAGATTGGTGAGTCCAGACCTAGTGACATTTTTAGAGAAAGCGTAGGCTGACGGGTCTGGACCAACAGAAGCGTTTCCACACTTACTGATTTATTAACAGACGTGAAGTTGAGTGCGAGCAGTGTGCCGTTGAGTGTGTAGTGACCTATTGGGAATACTGTTCGGACGGTGATACAAGGGCGACGCGTGCGGCAAATTTTGTGGCGACTTCGAATGGGATGCTGTAGTGTTGATTGCTGATTACAAGGTGCGCGGTTTTATGATATGGTGTGCGCTTGTTTGTGAAACATTCAATCAGTGACCATAATTTAGATAGCGGGGTGAAGCTGTTGAACGCATTCGAAAATTGCCCCCAAATTTTTCTGTCTTACGCTATAAGGATTATATCGGCTTGATGTTTAGCTACGCGAAACTCCTTTCCATAAGCTATGCAAATGCAACTACGAAAGGCACGCATAGCGCGGCGTCCCAGTGCTACTGCGTGCTGACACTTATCATTCCACCAAGGCGCATGGTTATGCCCAGGTAGACGATGAGTGAGGGGAACGAACTGGTGCGCTGAGGCTAAAATCTTGTTTAGAAATGTAGGGAGGTCTGAAGTTAAGCCTGGGGAGTGTGCCTCGTCTATATGACTTTGGAAAGATACCCAGCCCGCTCTGCAAACAGTCTATCGCGGAAGAGAATTGAGGCCCTTTGCCCTGATAGGACCTCTAAAGTTATGTGGATTGGGTAGTGGTCACTAAAACGCAGGTCCAGTTTAACATTGTGCGTAAAGAGTGGTGTTACGCGTGGTATTGTCAAGGCCAGATCTATAACAGAGTACGTCACTGTGCCCCGGTGGTGATGCGCATGCGTAGGTGTCAGTTCGTTAATACATCTGAGGTCTGAGTGTCCCTGAGTGTGAAAAACTCTACCCCTTGCTTGTGTCGTGTTACGTGTCGAATGACGAAGTCAGTCTTTTCTGTTTCCAGTTCTTCGTAAAGGTCTGATCTCTTAATAAGCTGACCGGTGGTACGGAACGAGTCGCAATGTCAGGGAATTTTTCCACCGCATTGACATAAAAACGTGGTGGAAATCCACCGCAAGTAAGCAGCTACGCATCGAATGAAAAAGTAGATCAATGAGGACTCCAATTTTCCGTAAAGACTCGTGTTAGTACCGAAATGAACCGACCGGTGATCCTGCGCGAGTTGCAATACACGTCAGTTTTGTTTACCAATTCTACATCAAGGACCGCGCACATCGCGGATAAACTGCTACTCTTCCAACTCGCAAGCATGATGTTTTGAACCCTAATTTCAAGTGAAGACTCGCGCAGATTACAAATTAAGCTGATGCGTACCCGGGATTAAATGAGAAGAATACAAACAAGCTTTAAGTTCCGCCTTACTTCTACACCAAGTTATTGCTCCTTTAAAAATAAACATCTCCTCCTAGCTGAATAACGTATATATATATATATATATATATATATATATATATATATATATATATATTCTTCACAATCTAGCAAAATGTCTGTTGTCTTCTCTGTGTTAACAGCTCCTTAACGGACAGACGATTTCTGGCCTGCTCCCCCACGGAAGACTCCTTGATCGTTGATTTGCTGCTTCAGCGATGGTGGGTCGCCGCTGATGAAGCGGTAGACGATCGCGTTGCCGCCTGACGTCCGGTGAGCGGGATCAGTGTCACCCCTCCTCACTTCGATCGCTAAGTTTTCCCTGATCAAGTTGATCACCACTGCTTCGATGTCTTCCGGTCGGTCACTGGTGGAAGGTGGCGGTTCAGCGGCGCCCGGCGACGGCCAGCTGGGGTCTTCTGCCGCCGGCCGATAGGTACCTGCCCACTCCGGTTGAGCCGCTGGCTCTACTCGCAGCCAACCCGGGCTCGCGGGACCGCGGGAGGCTGGGCAGCCGACCCTGGACGAGTCCCTGGCGCCGCCCTCGATCAGTCCTGGCTTGCGGGGACCGCGGGAAGCAGGGTGGCCTACCCTGGACGAGTCCCTGGCGCCGCCCTCGATCAGTCCTGGCTCGCGGGACCGCGGGAGGCTGGGCAGCCTACCCTGGACGAGTCCCTGGCGCCGCCCTCGATCAGTCCTGGCTTGCGGGGACCGCGGGAGGCAGGGTGGCCTACCCTGGACGAGTCCCTGGCGCCGCCCTCGATCAGCCCGGGCGAGTCCCCGTTTGCGAGGGACGGCTGGACCGGAGAACATCAGAGTGTTTCCGATTTCCTATGAAGTATTTTATTTTTGAGCGACTCCATGTCTCCATTTCGTTCTGTGTGTCGTTCCTGCTCTATTATTCTATGATGTCTCCCAAGCTCTGGCTCAGTGAGGAATGTCAGGGTCCCCAATGCTTTTTTCGTCAAGTCTCAGATCCCCGATAACCCCATCTGTGACTTCAGATGGAGAACTCCTCCCAACGCACGTCTCTGAGCTGACGCGGGTCACCTCCGAGAGCGATGACTGGGACTGGGCTGGAGACTGCCCGTCCGAGAGCCGCCGGCGCTTGCCGGCTTCGCTGGAGTTCTCCATCGTCTTGACATGGAGTGACTTGACATGACATGACTTGACTTGACTTGACATCGTCTTGACATGACCTCCATTGACTTGACATCGTCATGACACTTGACAAGCCATACACAGCTGCCTATCGACCTTTGCCGACATCTTTCAGCCCATTTGCTCCAATGCCCTGCCGGGCCGCTTTACTCGCGCAGCAACAATGTGTCATGCACCATGAGGTCAGGTCAAGGTTACACCACTGGGAGCGATAACCGTGCGCAACGGCGGTCGGTCAACAGCTGGATCTCATGGCGCCCCTCGATAAAAATGCGCCCCAATCAAACTTCCTGGATCCGCCCCTGCCGCGAGAGAGATGGAAAATGTATGAGACGCCGACGACCGTATGTTACTTTCGAGCGTAGACGCCGCATGGAGAGCTCGGCAATCGTGAACTTATACAGTCAGATACTGACAGTTGGCCTCGTGTGTCATTGGGGCTTCACAACGCACTCAACTGCTGAGGCTACATGGCGTTGCCTGTATCTCACCGAGGCAGGATTCGCTTTCCCATTATGTTTGAAAAATCTCCCCGCCTCCTTGAAAAGACTCCTTGAGACCCACATAAAAGACAGGAGCGTTAGGAGTGCTCAAAACTGGACAGGGAACGGCTGTCTTGTTTGGACGTGTTTCTCGTTACGTATGAACCTGCATTGAGTGCATCACCTTGAGATGTAGCTCGATTGGATTCGCTTTCGGACATTGGACGACGCAAAAAGTTTAACCTTCGTCGAACTGAATAAATGAGACACCACTCCATACAAAACATTTATGTACAAAAAACCGGTAGGCATAGAATGCAGTATGTACAGAATGTATCACAGTTATGGCACGTGGTCACAAAAGCCCGGCGGACCTGTCCGCTCTCACCGCAGCGGCGCATTTAAACACAAATACCACCAGCAGTCGCTCCGAGCAGCACGCACGGACACATCAGTCAGACACGGCTCTCCTGACGCAGATCGCGGGCGGCCGTCTCCTTCCGGGTCGCAGCCAGACGAGCCTACGCCCGGTGGGTCCAGAAGCAGGCGAGTCGTCCATGCATGATCCGCAGCCGAGCGGCGATCGGCGCGTGACGTCACAGCATGCGCGGCACACGAAAAGAGGCGTGAAGTACGCGTGCGGCTGCTCCGCGGTAACGGCAATGCATGCACTCGCCACCGGGTACAGAACACGGGAGTTGCTGGCGGCACTGGGAGCAAACCCACTCTCGCTGGCGAAATGCCAACGCGGGGCAGAAATTAGTGAACCAAAAGCAGCGAGAGAGCGCTAACAGATTACATGTCGTGAACGCTAAACTAAATGTGGTCTCCCGGAAGCGAGGCCACCAGTCAATAACAAAACACAGAGCTGACGCCCGATCCGACACTGTTCCGAGCAGTCGTTAAGTAAAAATGGGTACAAAGTAGCACCATTCATGCACTTTGTACTGGAATCTCAGCGGAGTTTGGCCAATACTTCACGCAGCAAGCGCCACCCATGCGGACGAAATTAAACTGCTACAATGGCAGTGCATGACTGGGACTGCTCCATCGCATAATCTCGGCTAAGGTCAAATCAAACTAAAGCTCGTTACGCGGCAGCCTGCGCTGACGTGGCTCCAGGCCGGACGCCCGCGCAGCCACCATCGGAAAACGCACAACACACAACAGCGGAGCTGTCTGCAGGCTGCACGGCGTTCTCACGAGGACCCGTCAGCCGCGACCCCGTCCAGCCACAGCCGCGAACGACGGGGTGTGTCGATCACGGCTGAGGATCGGAGCACCACACAGTCGGAAGCCCATCTCACGGCGCCCGACGCATCGCGGTGCAACTCCGAGGACGGTCCTCAGAGGACTGTCTCTCGAGGAGTTACGCTGCCCGGGGACTCCCAACACTCAGGTGGCCGCCGTCAGGAGGGCCGCTGTCGGAATGTGCCGGCCGCTGGGCCGGCGGGCCAGCCTCACCCCGGCCGACCTGAGCGCGAGTGTCTCCTCCGAGCTGGCCCGGCCGGCCGGCGGGCCCGGCGCTGCCCGTCCCACCGCGCGCCGTCGGCCGTTGGCCGGCCCGGCCTCTGAGATCGCGGCCCAGCTCAGGCCGGCCGGGCGCCGTCAGATGCGCGAGCTGGCGTCGTCCGACTCGATGTCACACAGCTGGCCGCCGTCCTCGCTCTGACTGCCGGCCGTCAGCGACTCCAGCTCGGCGTACGTACCCAGCTGCAGCGGCAGACGGTTGCGCGCCGGGTACCGGTACCTGCGCGGCAGGGGTCACGGACGGTCAGGGCCGTAGCGGACTTCTGAGTACATCGTGTCACGCTGTGTTGTTTGAAGTGCGGGAGCGTCATAGCGACTGTTGCCAACGTCATTGCTCAGCTCCAAGATGACGCTGACTTTCATCCCGGTGCTCAGCTGAACGTGCCGCCGGCGTTCCCAGTGAGCCCGTCACAGGGTGGCTCACCTGTCCAGCCGGTGCAGCAGACCGTCCGCCTCGCCGTCCGTGTCGGCGCCGCTGTGCGCCGGCAGGTACAGGTTGGGGTGCGCCGCCAGGCCGTAGGCCAGGTCGCCGCCGGCCACCGACGACAGCTCGGACGCCGAGCCGCCCAGCTCGATGCCGTGAGCCGACAGAATGCGGTCGAAGTCGGTCGGCTCGGGCAGCGTGTCCAGGTCCGAGGTGATGTCGTCGCCGTCGCCCTCGCCCACGTAGTCGGACGTCTGGTCTTCGTTCAGCGTCTCCAGCACGTCGTCGTCGTCCGCCATGGCCACGCCTGCGCAGCACAGGACGTCATGAAGCTGCAGGCGTTGCATGCTCCAGATTGGGGCGAAAGTTGCAGTTTTCAGTTGCGTTTCGTAAATTTCAAAACCAGCGGTTTTTTTAACAGAACTCTAGGTAAAGGTGGTCAAAATTCATGAACGGATATGATGGATTACCAACTCATTGTGGATAATCCTTCTTGGTTGGCATACATAGATGTGATGTAATATAAAATAGGTTCAATTTTGAGCGATGCTTGAACCCAATAGGACTAAACGTATTCACGAAACGTCAATTTGAGATCATGGTACGACATACGCAAACTAGCGAACATTGCAACAATCGGTTATTTTCAGTTGGCTACGATACCGGAGATATTCATCATCGGCAAAATCTCGTTCCTAAGCTGATTACAGGTATACTCTCGTGCAAATTGTAGCGTAAGTGTGGTGCACTGCTATGGAGGTAGTGCTCGAGCATAAGAACGGCATCGGAGGTGGGATCAACAGGCTGTATGAGCCCGTAACCGAAATTGCAACCGAAGACAACAAAATCTGTTCCGTTGGCAAAACAATTCCGACTTAAAGCAGCAAACTGAACGAACGGTCTATCAACTTAATTGGTTTAAGCGGCGTTAGGAATAAGGTGAAAACTGAAGCAAGCCATCGTCTTGATCAACAACCAAATATAATGTGCTCATAGGCTTCGCAGAGGCAGACAAGCTAGCACAAAAAACACCTTACTTGAAAGCCCCAGTCCCGTTTCTATGCACCACTCAGCAGCAGCTGCGGCCTCTCCTCAAACAACCACGCTGTCTGGCCGCTGTTCCACCCAGCTCTCAGTACTTGGGGGGGGGGGGGGGGGGGCACGGACTTATATCTGAGTGTCAGTGAACAAAATCGGACCATAGCAGAAAAAGCTGCCAGTTATGTCGTGTTGCAAGTAAATGTCCGGCCACGTGTTCCCGGACTCGCTGTCTCGTGATCTCGTGATCTGATACATCGAACAATCAGCTGGGAATGTTAGTTGAGACATCAAAGAGGAGCCCAGGACGCTTTGAGCTAGCTGTTGCCGACACACAAACGTCCGACCCAATTTTCTACGCATTGACACTTGCGACCGAAGTAGCCATCAGTAAGGATTGCAGCAGCGCCAAAAAGTGTTGCAGGTAATTCACTAAATTATGTTATAGCCTAGTCTATACTCCTGTTTCGTATCTTCTTCGGACACCTGGAAGGGGGCACAGAACCGTCGAAGAAAAATGCCCACAAAATGTTCACACATGTGAACTAGCCAACATAAGCGCATGAAGTTTCGAACAGATACGTTTCGGACATTCTGCCAGTCACGTCTGTCCTCAAACTCAGACTTCAGCAAGATAGCAGTTTCATTTGAAATTGCCCAATGCACGACGCGGGAGTCTCACCTTACCGTGTATTTGAAGCTGAACGTGAGCACGACTGACTTAATTGCGTTCCCACATGCGAATGTAGCGTATAACGCACTTTTCCCCAGCTTACAAAACGCTTCGTTGAGTTTCCCATCTCTAAAGCACACTCCATTCACAATGTGTATGTATCCAATTCACAAAGCATTTCGAAATGCAAGGCATGTCGCAAACTGAGACGATTTATCTCCATATGAAGACCCAGTCGCAACCATGGCGTCGCAAAAGTCGGTTTTACTCACTGGCAGGGGCGCGAACAGCAGTGTTGCTCTCGTTGCTCTCGTTGCTATGGTAACTGGACGTGTCCTTGACCTCTGACCCCGTGACCTCCGTGATATTTGGCAGGGGATTCTGACTGGTGCGAACCCAGTCCGAACAGTCCCAGTGGTAATCTGAAAGGAACGTTGGCGTACGTTCATCAACATCATTGGGTTGTACATCAAGGAACGTTGGCGTTGTTAGTCTGAAATGACGCCGGGTAGACAGCTGAACCCGACCGGGAACGGAGTATGAAACATGAATCCACACGACCAGCACAACACACGATCAGAAGCCGGCACGAAGGAGCACCCATTCATTGGAAGGGTGCAGATATGATCATAGTCTCAGCGGCGTGAGGAGAGTGTCATTCACAACTTAAAGCTGGCCAGCAACCGACTGACAGGCGCCATGCGGCGGGAGCTGACCTGGTGTTTCCGGGGAGGAGAGAGCGGTGGCGCCGCCCTCACGGCGCGGCTTGTCCAGCGGCGGCAGCTGGATCCTGTTCAGCGCCGCCAGCTGCGGGTCCGTCAGGTCTGCACAGACAGCGGGGGGCGCGCGTCACGCCTAATGCTTGTCACCAGTCCTGAGGTCACCAGGTGGACCACCAACCACCACCATCGCCGCCAGATTAGGTCTTCATAACGTATGATCGATACAAATAATAGATGTCACGGTTTTCCGCGGGCCACCGAATCCAAGCCTATCGGGGTTCATCCAGACACGAACACTGCCTACATATAGACCGGGCCACGCAGACAGCCATGAGACGCGTACCGTTCTGTATCTTGTGCATGTCGTAGTAGGAGGGCTTGATGTTTTTGTCCATGTCCCGGTAGGACTTCTCCAGAGTGTTGGTGGCGCTCATGTCGGAGGCTGTGGCCGCCATAGAGGGCGCCACACTCGCCGTGGGCTTGTTGAAGTTCTGAACACAGAAACGGAGAGGTCGTCAGAGGTCACGCGTCGCACTAGGAGAACATTCACCACAACAGCAGGACGCCAAACAGGCGCTGTGAGTGACCTGCAAGTGCTGGCAGGCGCTGTGCGGCGGACCGTCCAGGTCCGGGGAAGGTCTAACTGACCTGCAAGTATTGACAGGCACTGTGCAGCGGATCGCCCAGGTCCGGGAAGGTCTAACTGACCTGCAAGTACTGGCAGGCGCTGTGCGGCGGACCGTCCAGGTCTGGGAAGGTGTAACTGACCTGCAAGTACTGGCAGGCGCTGTGTGGTGGACCGTCCAGGTCGTCGGCTGCCGACCCGTAGCTGCGGATGGTGTCCAGGTTGTTGAGCGTCGAGTATTGCGGCTCGGAGGCCCGGTTGTTGGCTCCGCCGGTGAACGATGCCGGACGGACCGGCAGAGTCGCTGCCACCTGCCGAACACGCATGAAAGCAGGCGCCCACATGGACATGGGGTCGAGCCTGAACAGCGTATGTAACGAACGCAACCTTCGTACATTTCACCTGATGTGCATCTCTGAGCTAGAAAATATCTTGACACCTGACTCTCCTCTGTGTTCACGTGCCTGAAGCCTCTTGGTCCTTTAACCCGGGTACGTGAAACCAGTCTGCACATGGCATGCCTGGCTGTGAACCAGCGACACGTAAGTGTTCACATCGAGCAACGATGTTCGTCGACACCTAGTGACAGCGCACGTACCGAGCTGTTGGCCTCCAAGTTGGACACCTTGGACATCCGCTTGTACTCGCCGCGCTGGTTTTTTGGCTTGATGTTCTGCAGCAGGATCTCGTTCGAGGCGTCCTGGTTGCCGGCCAGCGGGTGGCGCGGCGTGCGGCTGCGCTTGCGCCGCGACTGGCGCCAGCACACCACCAGCAGCACCACCAGGAACAGCGCCAGCACGAACGCCACGATGCCGACGATGTGCTCGAGCGTGATGGGCAGCCGGGCGGCCGGCGCCGCCGCCGTCAGGCCGCAGTACGTGCCCGTCCAGTTGGCCGCGCACAGGCAGCGGAACGCGCCCGGCACGTTCACGCACGTGGCGCCGTTGCGGCACGGACTCTGCAGGCACTCGTTGACGTCCACCGTGCACAGGGGCCCCGTGAAGCCGCGACACTTGCACAGCGGTCCGAACGCGCCCTCCTCGCAGGCGCCACCGTTGCGGCACGGGTTGGGGTTGCAGTGCAGGCCGTACTGGCAGCGCCGGCCCGACAGACGCACCGGACAGTCGCAGCGGTAGTCACCGGCCACGTTGGTACACACGCCGCCGTGGAGGCAGGGTGACGAGGCGCACGGGTCCGTGTCCTGTTCGCACCGCTCGCCGAGGAAGCGGACTGCGCATGCGCAGCTAAAGCCGCCGGCGGCGGCGGCGGTCGCCGAGCAGCGGCCGCCGTTCAGGCAGGGCTGGTGGCCGCAGGCGTCCGGCTCGGCCAGCTCGGCCCGGCAGCGGGCCGACAGACGCACCGTCTGCTGCAGCCGCGCCGAGCGGCTGCTGTCGCGCGCGTGCAGCGGCAGCCGGTGGCCGTCCAGCTGAAGGTTGTCCAGACAGCCGGCGAAGCCGCGCTGCGTCTCGCGCGAGCCGTCCGAGCCGGCCGGCCGCACGACAGCACCCACGAACATCAGTCCATTGGCCACGCTCAGCACCTCGTAGAAGCCGGGCGCCGCGCCCTGCAGCCACGCCACGCAATCAGACAAACAGTCCGCCGCTGGTGTGTCGGGTAACGGAAACGCTGCGTTACATGTCAAGACACAGTGCCCGCAAGTCTGGCAGAAATGACGGCCCCAATCAATAGTTAGCATTGACACCGCAGGGTATGTCATTAAGCAGGTGGGTTTACAACACGCTGTATGCCCACCTGCATGCTTCAGTTATGAGCCCGGGAATAATGAGGTTCTCACCTGTGCACCATAGCGTCCATCCACCAGCACCTCGGCTCTGTTGCCGAACCTCTTGACGAGCACGTTGTGCCACCGGTCATCGTTGAACTGCATGTCCGGTACCAGAACGCGCCCCTCACCGCTGCCGCAGTCGAAACGGTACTGGAGCTGACCGTTCACGATCTGAAATCCGAGTAAGGCCCATCACGATATCATAATCATGCACCCAAATAACGCACAGCAGAAATGCAAACACGCAAATGGAAGGATATCAAACCGACAATACGTCAACCAGTATGCAATGAAGCCTACGCTGTTTACAAAGGATGAGAACCATCAAACATTTTCAGAGCCAAGACGGGTGTCAGGGTCAAAATGACAAAGCTTCAGCCATATTTGAGTCAGCTTCTCCACGTGGCCACAAAGCAGCGGTGACTGCACAACAAGCTATGCCAGCTACCTCTGACGTGCTATACCCTCTCTCGTCCAGTGTCCCCAGCTGCCATCAGCAAAGACAAGACGCTGACCTCAAGGATGCTGTACTCGACGCCGCCGGCCGAGTAGACGAGCGTGCCGGTCGGCTGCCGCGTCCGCAGGCTCAGCTCCAGGGTGAGGCGCCGCTCGGACGGCTCCAGCAGCCGGTACTCGGCGTACCCGTCGCCGTCCAGCGAGAACGGCGCGCGCGGCGTGTAGCACTGGCCCTGGCGGCACTCGGAGGCGAGCAGGCCACAGCGGGGGCCCGTGCGACCCTCCGGACATCGGCAGCTGAAGCCCGCCGCTGAGGCGTCCGGTATGCACGTCTGGTACTCGGCGCACGGCGAGCGGCCGCACTCGTTCACCAGCTCCGAGCACAGCTCGCCTGCCGCCACCAGAGCACAGGTCAGAGCACAGCCCACCCGCTCGGTTCCGAGGTCACCGTCAGAGCGATGTCAGGTCATCTGCGAGACCATGGCAAGCAAGAGAGCTAACCGACCTCTGCAGCTAGAGGCGAGCGCTCACTGCCCTGATCGTGTACACATAACACCGCTGCACATATTCTACAATATTTGACATTTCCAACTAAAATTCAGCACCACAATGCACGACAACTAGCAGTGCGGCGATTGGAAACTAACGTGTGCGAAATACGTCTGCTGAGCCCACAGCCGAATACGCAGAGCTGGCCATGCGAGCGTACCAGTGCTGCCGCGAGCAAGCCGACTGACCTCCGAAGCCGACGTGGCACTGGCAGCTGAGCTGGCGGCTGTGCTGCGGCGAGACGAAGCTGACCACGTCCGTGGCCACGCTCACCACCAGCTCGTCGTCGAACACGGCCACGTCGCTGCAGTTGCCGTGCAGGCAGGGCGTCGCCTGACAGCCGTCCTCATCGACAGCCAGCAGCGGCACGGCCAGCAGGCGGCTGACGGCGGCGCGGCCGGCCAGCAGCCGGCGCCGCACCACGGCCGCCTCCATCCAGGCCGGGCCGCGCCGCACGGCCAGCAGCACGGCCAGGTCCGCCGGCCGGGCGGCCCGGCTGCGCCGCCGACCGCCGCCCGCCGCCGCCGGCTGCACGCTCAGGATCAGCACGTCCTTGGCGCGCACCTTCAGCTGCTTGCGCAGCGCACGCCGGAACGGCTTCATGTAGCTCAGCACGAACGCCCGCGGCGTGAGGCTGGCCAGCGTCACGGAGACGGCGTGACGCGCCATTTGGTCCGTGATTTCGCTCACGTCCACCGTAACGGCCGTGTGGCTGGTGAACTTGCCGTCCGTCACGGACACGTTCAGCCGGTACAGTCCGGCGTCAATGCCGGCCAGCGTCACCAGCGAGCCGTCGTCCGGGTCCAGCTCGAACAGGCGCTCGAGGCCGGCCTGGCCGGCCACCAGGCCGAACTGCAGCCGGTCGTACGGGTCCTGGTCGGAGGCGTGCACGCGACCCACCACGGCGCCCGGGAAGCTGTCCTGGTACGACTGGATCGACACGTGCAGCGGGATCAGCACCGGCGGGTACTGCGGCTCCTCGATTATCTGCAACGCAGCACGTCAACGGTCAGCAGATTGTCACAGCCCTCCGTTGCCTATGAAGCGAATGGCAAACCACTGTCCAGCTCTTCGATAATGTGCCGTATGTGACACGAATATTCAACCATTTGTCGAAAATGGCCAAAGCCCCGACATTCCAGCTTACGAATCGTTCGGAACGTTGTACGGCTGTGGGAATGTTGCGTCTATGACCAAATGCCGTTACGAATATTTTACACATAGTTCTTCAAGCCGGACCGTGCAAAAACAAAGGTGTCCTCTATCACTGCATTAGAAAATCCCAACGTCCCTTTGACTGACCTTGACGTCGACCCAGGTCTCGGAGAAGCGCACGTCATCACCGTTGTCGTAGACGCGCACCAGCAGCTTGTACGAGTTGCGCAGCCGGTGGTCAAACTTGGCGGCCGTGCGCAACTGTCCGCCGGCCGTGATCACAAACCAGTTGCCGCCATTGCCCTCGGCCACCTCGAACGTGAACGGGCCGGCGTTCGGATCCTCGTCAGCATCCGTCACAGAGAACAGCAGCATCGGGTGGCCGGGAGGCTTATCCTCCTGCGGCCAGAGAGGGAGGAACTCTTCAGACAACATATCAACTGGGGAGAGCAGCAGCAGCGCGTGGCCGGGAGGCTTATCCTCCTGCGGCCAGAGAGGGAGGAGCTCTTCAGGCAACATATCAACTGGGGGGACAGCAGCATCGGATGGCCGTGAGGCTTGTCCTCCTGCGGCGAGAGAGAGAGAGAGAGAGAGGGGGGGGGGGAAAGGAACTCTTCAGACCACATATCAACTGGGGGGAACAGCAGCAGCTGGTAGTCGGGGGCCTATCCTACTGCGGCGAGGGAGGGAGGGAAGAGCCCTCCAGACCACATATCAACTGGAGGAACAGCAGCAGCTTAAAGCAGGAGGCTTATCCTCCTGAGGCGAGAGAGGAAGGAACTCTCCAGACAACATGTCAACTGGTTGGACAGCAGAAGATGATGGTTGGAATAGTTGAGACAAGGTGTCAATCTTTCCAGAAGAAAACAAGGGCGTTCGTTTCAGGGAAAGTTGCCGAGGCTGCCCAGGTATGCAAAGATCGATGAGGCTTATAGGACGATTAGCAACTAATAGAATCTGCTGAGTTTTCCTCCCAACCCGCTTGTTTAGCCTCCCGGTAACACCAAAGTAATACGAACATGTACGTAAAACATGAGAGGATTGGTTTTGTCGAAGTGCCGCCAGCGGGAAAATGATGCAGGGCACACATACACTGTATCGTATTGCCACACTGCTTCTTCATCAGACCTCACCTGAATAATGGCGCTGTAGCGAGACTGAGAGAAGACTGGCGGGTTGTCGTTGGCGTCGCTGACGTGGACGTTGATCTGGGCGGAGGAGCTGAGCGAGGGATCGCCGCCATCCGTCGCCGTCACATCCAGACTGTAGCTGGACACCTGCCCCAAACAATAAGGCGTAACGCGACAGCAACGTGTGGAAATGAGCACGTTCAAGACATAATTGAAACTGCTCACAACCCTTGACGAAATTCAAGTGTAGAACGTCATCGACCACTATTGCAGTACAATCCTTGGATAAAACGTGTGTCAGGTACTGTACAGCCTCTGCACAGCCCGGCGCAACCCCTGTCTGTTGCAACCAGAGCACGTGTCGGCCCCAGCTGCTTTGATCAATTCGCCTGACACCCCCGGACATACCGGCACCGTGGAGCCGAGGGGCGAGAAGCGAGCCGCAAAGCACCGAGGCGTGAACCTCAAATGCATGTCGAGCCCTACCACAGGTGAGCGTCAGCTGAGGCGTGAGCCTCAAATGCATGTCGAGCCCTACCACTGGTGAGCGTCAGCTGAGGCGTGAATGTCAAATGCATGCCGAGCCCTACCACTGGTGAGCGTCAGCTGAGGCGTGAACCTCAAATGCACGTTAAACCCTTCCACTGGTGAGCGTCAGCTGAGGCGTAAACCTCAAATGCATGTTAAACCCTACCACTGGTGAGCGTCAGCTGAGGCGTGAATGTCAAATGCATGCCGAGCCCTACCACTGGCGGGCGTCAGCTGAGGCGTGAACCTCAAATGCACGTTAAACCCTACCACTGGTGAGCGTCAGCTGAGGCGTGAACCTCAAATGCACGTTAAACCCTTCCACTGGTGAGCGTCAGCTGAGGCGTGAACCTCAAATGCACGTTAAACCCTTCCACTGGTGAGCGTCAGCTGAGGCGTAAACCTCAAATGCACGTTAAACCCTACCACTGGTGAGCGTCAGCTGAAGCGTGAACCTCAAATGCATGTCGAGCCCTTCCACTGGTGAGCGTCAGCTGTCAGTTCGGGTCCGATATGTGCCGCTCGGTTGCGCGCCCTAACGTATTGTAGGAAGCATTTCACGATATGCACTCGGTTATAGTATAACTTGTCAATCCCGGTGGCTCAGTTGGTTGGAGCGTCTGCCTTCCGATGCATCTGCCCTTGGTAGTGGGCTTCAGTGGCTTGGGCGCTCAACTTTTGCCCGAGAATATGATGGAACAGGCAGCAGCGGCCATTCCAAAGGTTAGGTAACGTTGGAGGGTAGAGCGCCCGTGCTCGTCATTAAGGCACGTACAACATGAGCGCCAAATAAAAAATGTAGTCGCCGCGCCCTGTAGCCCAAGTCATCATCATCAAGGCACGTGCAGCTTTCGCTACAAGATCCCACAATCGGATGGTGGAGTCAGGGCGGCTCATTAAACAGCCAGCGCTTAGCGTGGGCACTGGCCGCAGAAATCCATCCAATCAAAAGATTCGGACTAAGTCCAAACAAAACCCGTCCGACTGTCACATTTCCATTGTCACATCATACAACCGGGTCGACTTACCCGCAACATATGATGAGACAATAGAAAATGTCGTCATGTTCATGCGTCAGTTGCCCACTGCAGCTAAACATATTTTATCAGAACTGGCCTCGCTACTTTGGCTCCGTATCACCAGCCTACGCACCATTTCTCTGTCGAGCTGCGTGGCGACATAGAGGTAGCCCGAGTCGGCGTCCATGGCAAACTGGCTGTGCTGGTCACCGCCGGTCACCGAGTAACGCACCCGAGCGTTGGCGCCCGAGTCCAGGTCAGCCGCGTGCACCTGGCGACGCGGCGTGCCGGTCAGGCCACATCCGGCGCACCTGGTGCTGCGCTGTGTCGGCCACAGCACAGTGCACTCCCAGCGCGGCTCCCCCACCCGGCTCAACAGGGCAGGCCGGACAGATATCAGTATGGGCTGTCGGCTGGTGAGCGCAGGCTCACAATATGGCTCATGACGTGACTTCGGGCTAGGTTGCCTGAAGGGGCTGCTGCTTTCTTTTCTCCGGCAAGCGGACAGGGAGCGCGAATATGGTAACCCGGCACGACACTGCGCAGGCAAACCACATCAACACTGCTGGACTGGCCTACACTGTGGTGGTCACATGCAAATGTCTAACCAGCGGAATTGAAAAAGATCCAGCAACACACGTTCAACACAACACACAGATAAACACAAACGTCTCCCGCGTCCTTAGTCAAGCTAACGATCAACTGCTTCAGACGACACACATTTCTGTGACGTCACAAGATTTTCCGTGGCACCAGCAGTGGACATACCTGCAGAAGGCGCTCTCCTGTGGCCACATCCTCGCGGATAACAGCGCTGTACACCTCCTGCCCGAACACCGGCGCGTTGTCGTTGCAGTCGAGCACGGTGATGTTGACGGTGGCGTGGTTGCTGAGCGGCGGAATGCCGCCGTCCCGGGCCTCCACCGTCACCATGTACTCTCTGGCTCGCTCAAAGTCCAGCTCGGACATCACCGACACAATACCTGTCGGAACACACACAGGGGTCACCACGTACTCCCCAGCTCGCTCAAAGTCCAGCTCGAACATCACCGACACAATACCTGTCGGAACACACACAGGGGTCACCAAGTACTCCCCAGCTCGCTCAAAGTCAGCTGGGACCTCACCAACACAATACCTGTCGGAACACACACACCGGGGCCACAATGTACTCCCGGGTACGCTCAAAGTCTAGCCGGGACCTCACCGACACAATACCTGTCGGAGCACACGCCTGGGTCACTAGGTACTCCCGGGTACGCTCAAAGTCCAGCTGGGACCTCACCGACACAATACCTGTCGGAGCACACGCAGGGGTCACTAGGTACTCCCGGGTACGCTCAAAGTCCAGGTGGGACCTCACCGACACAATACCTGTTAGAAAACGCACATGTGTCGCCATGTGCTCCTATACCCGCCTTAAAGTACAACACAGGCGACTAAAATGCTGATAAGCACGTGCCTGTTTTAGGGTTGATCTGGAACATGTTGTGTTCGTTGCCGCCAATGATGCTGTAGCTGATCTCGGCATTGACACCAGAGTCCCTCGAGGTGGCCAGAAGTTTGAGAACCTCTGTCCCAACAGTGGTGTTTTCCAATGCCGTCGCGTGGTACAACTTCTTGGTAAACTCGGGCGCGTTGTCGTTCACGTCTGTGAGCATTTCAAACAAATGTCAGCCTTGACGAAGAGCCGATAAATTACCACCACACACATCACCCGATATCGAAAAAATGCTAAAACAAAGATGCGAAAATAGCCTTATCTGACAACACTGTAAGACGCACCCTGCGTAAGAAGCATGACAGTAACCCTTTTCACAACACAAGCAGGCGTACCCTGCACCAGCAGTATGACTGTAACCCTGCTCACAGCACAGGCAGACGTACCCTGCACCAGCAATATGGCTGTAATCTTTCTCACAGCGCAGACAAACGTACCCTGCACTAGCAGTATGACTGTGGCGGTGCTGGACAGCTGGGGTGTGCCGCCATCCGTGGCTCGCACGCTGATGTTGAACATGGCCTGCTGTTCCCGGTCCAGCGGCCGTCCCAGAGTCAGCACGCCCGTCCTCGGGTCCAGCAGCAGCCGGGCATCGTCGTCGTCCTCCTCCACCAGACTGTACTCCAGTTCGGCCGACAGGCCTGGGAACGGCACAGTCTCTACAGTCAGGCTGTGGCCAAGATCGGTGCACACGCCTGAGAACGGCACACTGAGTACCTACAGTCAGTCTGTGGCCAAGATCGGTACACACGCCTGAGAACAGCACCCGGGGTAGTCTGCCTGACTTAAGCCAAACAGAGTGCATGGGGACAGGCTAGTATCAAACCAAGTACGGCCGGCCTGAACCGAAGCGCACAAGAACAACATAAGACTACAGTCCAGCCATACCATGATGGTGTGGTCCGTGTATGTACTGACCCCAGGTCATCGTCACGGACGTCCAGCCGTCCCAGGATAGTGTGGTCCGTGTCTGTACTGCCCCATGTTATCGTCACGGACATCCAGCCGTTCCAGAATGTTGTGGTCTGTGTCTGTACTGACCCAGGTCATCATCACGGACGTCCAGCCGTCCCAGGATGGTGCCGACGGCCGTGTCCTCGGGCACCGTCAGCGACAGCACGGGCGGGGCGAAGCTGGGCGCGCAGTCGTTGACGTCCTCCAGTGTGACAGTCAGCACGCTGGTGCACTCCCACTCGGCGCGGCCGCGGTCCTGCACGTGCGCCGTCAGGCGGTAGACGGGCCGGGACTCGCGGTCCAGCGAGCCCGACACGCGCACGTGACCTGGCCATGGCACAAGGCGTCAGGTCAGGTCAGGTCAGGGCGGCCTGGTGCGACATCAGAACGCACGCCAAGCAGACCAGATGACGGTCATAACGTAGGGCCACACAATAATACCTTATGTGAACATGAACTGATGGCCAGCATGGCAGCATCAATGGTGAAGAGACAAACCAAGCGTGAGAGGGCATCGACGACAAGACGCACTTAGAAGACGCTTCAACGCACATAGCGACTGCCTCAGCGACAGCTTCGCCATTCCTTCAACCAGTCCGGGTACAAATGACGTCACCGGAAACAACTCGGCCGTCAGCTGACCTAGAGCCGGGTCGATGGCGAAGTCGTCGGCGCCGCCGCCGGTCAGGTAGTACCGGAGCCGACCGTTCCTGCTGTCGTCCAGGTCATGAGCCCGGACGGTCAGCACGTGGTGGGGAGGGGCCGCCTCGCTGAGCGTGACCGCGTACTCCTCCTCCTCACACACGGGTGGGTTGTCTGGAACACCGCACGGCGTGGTCACGTGCCGCCACGTTGTATCACATGAGGACGGGACATGACCAGACTAGGATAACGGCATTCATAACGGTGCCACACAGCCAGCACAATGTTCTGCAGCTTGATCCCTATTTTGTTAAAAACACAACGGAGCAAGAATCAACCACCAGCTTCGCACGTTGAGTTACACAATTAGACATGAAGCTCAAAGAGCTTCCATGCCAAAAACCCAACACAATCTCAATCGGTGATATTTACCCAGCCTATGCCCAGGGATAAGTGTCTTTAGAGGCGTTGTCAGCACATCCGAGTGCTGGCGGAGGAGACTGACCGTTGGCGTCGAGCACATCCAGGTGTAGCCGGGTGGTGGCCACCAGAGAGCCGTCGGTGGCTGTCACCGTCAGGTCGTAGCTGGGCACGGTCTCACGGTCCAAGGCGTTTAGCACGAACAGCTCGCCGCTGTTGGCGCCGCTCGTCACAATCTGGGGACCACGTGCATGTTCGTTAGTGGGGGAGAGTCACGTCTTTCAAACCTCTGGTGTCGTCGCTCGTCACAAGCTGGAGATCATGTGCACGTTCGTCAGTGGGGGAGTCATATCTTTTAAGCCTCTGGTGACGCCGCTCGTCACCATCTAGGGATCATATGCACGTTTTTCAGTGGGAGGAGAGTCACATCTGTCAAAACTCGGGTGACGCCACCCGTTAAAAACTGGGAACTTTACGCAAATGCCAGTGGAGAGCTTCAGATCACCCATGCACTGGCGCGGCCTGTCACAATTAGAACACAATGAGCACACATGATCTGTGACCTAAGTATCACGCAAACAGTTTTTCAAACAATGCTCGTCAGAGCTTGAGGACGGCGCATACACGCCAGAGGGGGTCTGTAACGCCATTGACACGCCAGAGGGGGTCTGTGTGCCACTAACACGCCGCAACGGGTCTCTAGCGCCACTAACACGCCACTGGGCGCCTGTATCACCACTGACACCGCTGAACGGGCATGCTCTGACCTCGAAGCGGGCGTGCGGGTCTCCGTCGGTGATGTAGAAGTGGACGGGCGCCGAGAGCAAGTCGGCGTCATCGGTCGTCAGGCTCATGATGGAGGTGCGCGGCAGGGCGTCCTCATTAACGACGGCCGCGTACCGCTGCTGAGCGAACACGGGCGGCGAGTCGTTGTAGTCGGCCACCGAGATCACCAGACTGGCCGTGGACGAGCGACGAGGCGACCCTGGCGGGGCACACCGGGTCAGGTCACTCAGGTCACAGGTCTCAAACCAACCTCACAAGTCCCCCCTCTAGTGAAACGTGTAGTTGACGATCACCACCAGCCTCCGCAACGTACTCCCTATTCCATGCATGCTCTGTGGCGTTCCGACTGCGTTGTGGGGTATCCCTAGTTACCTCCGTCGGCGGCCACCACCATCAGCCGGTAGGTGTCTGTCGTCTCGCGGTCCAGCGGCCGCAGCGTGGTCACCCAGCCAGACCGTTCGTCCACCGCCAGCAGTGCGTGCAGGTGGCTAGAGTCGGCGTGCAGCTGGTAGCGCACCTGGCCGTTGGCACCCACGTCCGGGTCGACCGCCGACACTGGGGACGGGCGCAGCCAGGTCACACACGAACACACAGCACTGATGCAATGGAAAGGGGTGCACACAGCTGGCCCCACACAGAACTGATATACCTGGTAAAAGACGATACCCTCTCTGACAATACCCTCGCACATCTCTGACGTACCCTGTAGAGCCCTGGTACCGGCCGGCAGATTACCTCTAAGGGTACCTGGTACACTTCCGATTTACCCTGCAGAACCCTGGTACCGGCCGGCAGACCCTCTCTGACGGTACCTGGTACACCTCTGACGTACCCTGTAGAGCTCTGGTACCGGCCGGCAGACTACCTCTAACGGTACCTGTCACACCTCTGACGTACCCTGCAGAGCCCTGGTACCGGCCGGCAGACCCTCTCTGACGGTACCGCGGTACACGTCTGCGTCAAACACGGGATCGTTGTCGTTGTCGTCCATCACAGACAACATCAGGTGGGAGTAGGCGACCAGCGGCGGTAGAGAATCGGTCTGAGCTGCGATCGTGATGTTGTACCTGACGCAACGGAACAGAGCGTCAGGGAACGCATTAGAAGCGTCCAACGCACGACGCATCGTGGCCAATGCCTGCAACCCAACGTCCAGTGCGCGGGCACTGGAGTGCAGGCGCGAGGTATCGCGAAGGTAAGCGATGTGTCAAATGTGAATGCTATCGCATTCGCCGCGAACATGCTTGCCTCGAATAGCATGACAAAATAATTGAGGAAATTAGCTAAGTGTGCCCATTTTTTAAAGCTCATGAATGACGTCCAACAACCCAAAATAACCACCGATGATGCTAAATCTTACCAATCTTACCAAGCCTGAAAGTGGAAGCATGCACTGCTCGCAAATAGTTCCATTAACATCATACTCCGGACCCGAAGTCTATAGCTGTTTGACCCACCTGTCCACGGCCTCCCGGTCGAGACTCTTGGCCAGGACCAGCTGTCCGTCCGCGTCCACTTCAAACATGTCCGCTGACGGCATCTCGTGGATCGAGGCCACCGAGTACGTCACCGTACCGCCGCCGCGGACCCGGACTGACGTGATGCGGGTACCTGCGGAATAACCGGACATACGTCACTGGGACAGGCACACTGTCACGACACGGGCCCCATTCAGAGGTCAAACCTGCTACTTAAGCCACAGCTGCAGAGGGTGATAAATATTCAACCAAGAGAGGCTTACCTGGAAGAAAGAACTGTGCAAACATGCCTAATATGCTTCACCTTGTTCACACTGCCATGCATCACTTACCAACTGGGTCACTCTCGGTGAGAAACACGCCCTGTGGCCCCGACAGCAGCGGGTCAAACACGGGCATGCCCTCGCTGTCTGGCAACACGACCACGTCCACCGGGACGTCGGCCACCAGCCGCTCACTGCCGCCATCTGTCGCCCGCACGAACAACTGGTATACCGGACTCTCTGCCAACAGAGGCGCCACCGGTCACCAGTTGCGCCGCGCATCGAGGACCGGTTTGCGAGAAACGCTTTTTCTGATCGAAAACAGCGCAGGCGTGCTTGAACATGCAACATTACAACCCACTCAGCTGTGAGTATGGACAACGTCTGTGACAGCTCTTGAGCATAATACCCAACTCATTTTAGATGGACAATTATCCGAGAAGCAACGGACCATCTTAAATGTTCTCAAGGAACATACACCGACAAATTTGATTACCCATACGTCGAGACAACTTAAGTTCCCAATCGAGCTCTAGTCACTGCTACAGCCGGCGGGTGGAACTGCTCACCAAGCTGGTTTGGTTGCTGCATCAGAATGATCTCTCCCGTCTCCGAGTCGATATCCAAGGCCTTCCTGATGTCCGACACCTCCGTCTCGAAGATGCTGTACGCGATTCTGGCGTTGTCTCCTTCGTCCGAGTCGTACGCCGTCACCTGGCGGACCGCCGACCAATGAGAATACAAGAAACAAGCCACACCCGACCACCACAGATGCCAACCACAAGGCGTAATCATTGCGAGCTCACGTCGGTCAATCACTAGAATAGCGAACCACAATGGCAGGTAAGCGAATGGTTCAGCACCTCAGCGTCAATGCGGTCCACTGGCCGCCGCCACACGTCGCGCCGGCGGACAGGCTCAGGCTCGCCTTGCACTGGCCGCTGACACTCATCCAGCCGGGGGACAAGCTTATGCTCAACTTGCACTGGCCGCTGACACCGGTCCAGCCGGGGACGGACTCAGGCTCACCTTGCACTGGCCGCTGACACCCGTCCATCCGGGGACAGGCTCAGGCTCACCTTGCAGACGACGTCTCCGGCCGTGAGGTTGGCCGCCACGACGGCCCGGTACTGAGCCAGCTGGAAGCGGGGCGCGTTGTCGTTGACGTCCGACAGCCGGACCTTGACTGTGGTGTGATCCGACCGGTGACCACCGTCCGTGGCCCACACGGGCAGCTCCAGCACCGGCTCCGTCTCACGGTCCAGTCGCTGACGGGTGCTGATCACGCCTGTACGCAACACAGCACCAGTTCACACGGGAAGCTTCAGCACCGGCTCCGTCTCACGGTCCAGCCGCTGACCGGTGCTGATCACACCTGTACACAACACAGCATCAGTTCCCACGGGCAGCTTCAGCACCGGCTCCGTCTCACGGTCCAACCGCTGACGGGTGCTGATCACGCCTGTACACAACGCAGCACCAGTTCACACGGGCAGCCCAGCACCGGCTCCATCTCACGATTCAACCGCTGAGGGTTGCTGATCACGCCTGTACACAACACAGCACCGGTCCAGACGGGAAGGCTTAGCACCGGGCTGTCTCGTAACCTATGGAAGTAGCCAATCACTCCCTGTTCCGGTCATGCTCCCCGTTAACTCCATTCCAAGCAAGGGGTGGGTTCCGCCATGCCCCAGAGCCTTCGAAAACATCCGGAACGATTGCGATGCAGATAAAGGCGTCCGATTTCTCTTGAGATCTACATTCCCTAAAAATGACCGGACGCGATGTCAGAAATCTGTGACAGGACTTCTAACGGAAGGATGACAGCCACCCACCGGTTGAAGCGTTGATGCTGAATACTTCTCTCCATCGATCGGAGGGAATGCTGTACACCACCTGACCCAGGGGACCCCTGTCTGGGTCATACGCCTTGACCTGGGCCACCGGAGTGCCACTGGCCACGTCTTCACTCAGGTCCACCTCGTAGGCGACCTTTTCAAATGCGGGCGCATGCTGGAAGGGAAGAGCATTCCAGTGCGTGGCGGGTCTATGTTGAGAAAACACACCAGCGCGTTCAATCGATGACAACTTGATGCAAGACCCTTCAAGCCCGGCCTTCCACGGCACACACTAAACTGACGGCCCGCGACATTATCTCGGCCAGCCAGCAGCACCGCTGTCATCATATTGCACGTGTGATACACTGTTGCTGCAGGGGCGCTTCTGAGCGGCAGTCACCTTGTTAGCGGGCATCAGTCGGACCGTCAGGGGCACGTAGGTGTGGTGAATACCGTCGGCGGCGGTTATGTTCAGCTGGTACTGGGGCGACTCGTCGAACGCCCGGATATTGGCCACCGTGATGACGCCTGCGGGAGACACGGAGGGACACGTCACGTTCCCCTCACACGGCACCGGTACGGAGGAGGGTCACGGTCTGCTCGCTGGCGGCAGGACACGGAGTGACGTGTCACGTTCACCTTCACACAGTTCACGTTCACACAGCACCGGTACGGAGGAGGGTCACGGTCTGCTCGCTGACGGCAAGACACAGAGTGACGCGTCACATTCCCCTCACACGGCACCGGTACAGAGGAGAGTCACGGTTTACACGCTGATGGCAGCCATCAGCCAGCTGTGCTCCACATTACGGCGAGCGGGCATTCATCTCGGGCGTTATACAGAGGAGCCGTCACAGCTGCGGCGCCGAGACAAACGTGACGCCTCAGTCACCGTCGGCACCGCGGGGCACCGACCCACATTCTCCGAGGCCAGACCTACGAGCCCCCTCAGCAGGCAGGGCAGTGCTGAAAGAGCCGTGAACAGCACACTCTCGAGTTACAGTCAGACCCAGCCCCTGCTCCCCGCCCCACCACGGTGGCCCAGACTGGGTCTAGCACGCTCCACAACTCGCCCGCTATCCCTTTACCACGTGGTTCCATCAAGCCCTAGGGAAGCGCTGTCCAAGTGTATGTGTCCTCACCCATGCCTTTTATTACGTCTTATGCAAAGCACGGTATTCAGGTGCTAGCACACAGTTCTGAACCCCGATCAACAGGTTCAGGTGTTCGTGTTGTATCTCTCAGCGTTGTGCACGAGTCGCGGCCGGGCAAGCGGCGCCGGCAAGATACCGAGCCCACCGGCCTCGTGGTGACCCTGTCCACAGCTCCACAAACGGCAAATCCCCATCCAGAGCGCGCGACGGCGGCCGCTTCAGAAGAGGGAGCCCCCCCCCCCCCCCTCACGGGAAACCACCGCAGGCTGCTCACTGCGCGCGTCGTTACGGTGAGACGCCTGACCCCGATGAAGACCCAGACAATGATCCAGACAACTTCCAACGGTTACCTGGCCAAATAAAGCCTTCCTCGGAGCGGCCCAATGTTCCAGTCCACTGAACTGAGAACACCGCTCAGCACATTAGTCCATTGGACGGCAGCGCGTCGAATTGGTTGGTGGGGCTCCCCGGGATTTAAGCGACAATTCATCTCGCGGTGAATCGCTCTGCTGCTCTGCCACTGACACGGCTGCATCTCCAAGTATGAAAACGAATTATACGCAGCAAGCGTCATCAGTTCGCGCGAATGACGCACCTAATAATAAAACAAGGAACTGGATCACAAGCCGGTATTGGGCGTTCACATTGTGGCATGACAACGGCCACGGCCCGACACCGTGCAGACCGCGCATTGGATGCTCGCCTACCGTCTTTGAATGCTGCGCCCAGCTTCTGCGCGACCGGCACTGCTCCATTCCCTTCTGAGTGACATCACTTCATTGGATTTGCTCTAAACCCCGTGGGTTTGGTAAGGACATACTTGGAGACGAAGTACCTGCTGCCTATCTGCGTACCTGCCGGTAATGTGAACCTGCCGCCTTCCTGAGCACTCGTCGATATAGTTAGTCTGCCGCCTACCTGAGCGCAGCCCATATAGTGAGCCTGCCTCTGCCTGTGCGCCCGTGACTGTACTGTCCCTGCCATTTACCTGTGTGTCCGTGATTGTACTGTCCCTGCCATTTACCTGTGTGCCCGTGACTGTACTGTCCCTGCCATTTACCTGTGTGTCCGTGACTGTACTGTCCCTGCCATTTACCTGTGTGCCCGTGACTGTACTGTCCCTGCCATTTACCCGTGTGCCCGTGACTGTACTGTCCCTGCCATTTACCTCTGTGCCCGTGACTGTACTGTCCCTGCCATTTACCTGTGTGTCCGTGACTTACTGTCGCTGCCATTTACCTGCGTGCCCGTGACTGTACTGTCGCTGCCATTTACCTGTGTGTCCGTGACTGTACTATCGCTGCCATTTACCTGTGTGCCCGTGACTGTACTGTCGCTGCCATTTACCTGTGTGTCCGTGACTGTACTGTCCCTGCCATTTGCCTGTGCGCCCGTGACTGTACTATCGCTGCCATTTACCTGTGCGCCTGTTGATGTAGAACAGCTGGCGGTCGTTGCCGTCAGCGATGCGGTAGACGAGCTGGTCGGTGGGGTCCGGGTCGTGCGCCTTCACCATGGTGACAAACTGTCCTCGCGACGGCAGCTCCGTCAGCTCGCACGCGTAGCTGGCTCGGTCGAACACCGGCACGTTGTCGTTCACGTCCTCCACTGTGAACAGGCAAAGACCACAACTATGAACGAATGATAAAAACAGGCGCCGACTCCTACATACCCCAACTTTATGATTTTTTTATCGTAGACCCGCGATGGAAAGAGGATGAGCTTAAACCGTAGGTTACGTCCAGATCAGGATAGGCGTTTCAGTGGAGGCTCTGACGGCCGTTAGTTAAGGTCTCCACCCTGTTTCCGTTTGCATGCATTGACGGATAAAGCTGAAATTGTCAGCTGACATTTTACCATTATTCCGTACATCTTTTTCTGTGACAAGTTGCTGTATAAAGGTCTGGAAAAGATGTTAGGTGCATTAAGGTTATGTTATCTTTCAGATCTATCTAAAACGGGTTTACCACGCTAACCCTGGACCTCCGGATCATCTATTTTGGATGTATAAGCCTTACAGCACACAAAGCGCAAGGGTATGAGCTAAAATATATCAAAACTGTGCAAACCTTGCGACAGCGTTCTGAACACAAGCACCAATCGATGCCCAGAGGAAGAACGACACTTAACCCTTCCACAGGTTGCAATTCGCTACCTGAACGGAAACTGTAAACCAAAGATCCGAGAACAACATGGAAGCGCGCTAGCCAGAACAGCCACTTCTTTCAAAGGCGCGTGTTAATTTAAAGTTCCACGAGCGTTCGCGTTCATTAAGACGAACTAAACTTGTGCGAAACTCATTTCACACTGGAACGTCTCCGTCGCAGACAGCAAGCCGTTCCATCGAGAGATGGCCGGTTCAGCCTGACAAGAATACTCCCTGACACCGACAAGTCTGACTGACAGCCGACCTCTTCAGCCCACACGCCCCCACATGGGGAGGTCAGTGCTCCGTTGTGGCGGCGGGCCGCCGTCAGCCCTCGCCCATCGACAGGCTGTTTCAGCGGACAGTCGTAGCCCGTCCTGTGGACGACTTTGACAAAACTTTCGGGCCGCGCGGTCCGCACGACGTCCACGGGTCACCGCGGACCACTGGCGCACGCAGTTTCAAACGCACGTGAAGTTCTTCAATCAGCGCCAAGCGTGTCCTGACAACTTCGAATGCTTCGGAATACTTTGACGCGTGAAGCGTCCTGAGTTTTGCGCGAGTTCTGCGAAAATTTTAGATCATCCCGTGTCTGTCATATGTCTACGGTTTGCAGTGAATTTTGCGCCGCTGCAGAAGCTGTTCTCTTGTGTACGGGGCCACACAAGCTGCTAGCCCGTTTAGAGCAAAGCCCGGAGTGCCTTCAGTATTTTTAAGGATTACTCCTACCACATCCACAACACTCCACAAAGATACTGTCTGAATGTCGTTTTTTGAGAATGCCCGGGCAACCTACTTTACAAATTTGAGGGATGCCCGAAATGCGTTTTGCTGCGTCGTCTTTAGAAGTTGGTTTATTGAGCATGCCCAAGTATGAATAACATTTCACGCGTTTCCGGCGATGAAATGCGTGGTGAAAAACATGAATGAACAGTTAACATTTAATACCGTGTCATGAATGGTTGACGGCGGGTGGAGCAGCATCAACCGTCAGCGATACGCAGCGTCACCCAAGTATTTTTCAGTGGCGTGTTCTAACCGTTGACGGTGAGTACCGAACGCCGCCGGCCAGTGACGTCACCCCGTGTCGGGAGAGCGGCGTGTTCTCACCGTTGACGGTGAGCAGCGCGGTGCCGGTGAGCGGCGGCGAGCCGTCGTCGGAGACGGTCATCACCAGCTGGTGCAGCGGCCGCTGCTCGAAGTCCAGGTAGCTGGTGACGGCCAGGGAGCCGTCGGACGTCATGTGGAACAGGAAGCTCTCCGAGCCGTCCGCCTCCTGGACACGGAAGCTTAGCGGCTGGTCGTCCTCTGGACGACAAACACAGGCGCGGTTACCATCAGGCAAGCACACGCGATGCGTTTGATTCTTAGGCCATCTCAATCTAGGCTTACTTAACTAAATTGTAACAAGCGCAGGCTTAACACTGCATATAACGCGTGTCTTACATAGCTACGAAAGAATGAACTCAAAAATCCACGCTGAAATTACTCTTTTATTATTACAGCGATAATTTCACTCCAATTACGAACTCCATTCTTCAAGTTTCCGACAGGTGCTTGATGCGTCCCTCGCTGATGGATCTGTTCAGAACTGGGCCACAGCCCAGACGCCTGGAAACAACCCCTGGGACTAGAAGCCGGAGCTCTGATTACTTTCGTCTGTTCGGCCGGGACTCAAATTATCTGCGGGCACAACATGGCGCCTGCTTGGCCTCAACTGACAATCAGGAGTCAGCAAAGAAAACCGTGTTCCCAACACTGATACCGGTCTGAGATCTCCCTAAGTCTGTGGTCCCCAGCCTGGTGCCCGTTTATTATCCCTTCCCTTGGTCGGTGATCCTCGCCATGGTTCCGGTCCGTGATCCCTTGCGTTGGTTGTTGATCCTCACCATGGTCCCGGTCTGTAATCCCTTCCCTTGGTCGGTGGTCCTTACGCTGGTCCCGGTCCGTGATCCCTTCCCCCGGTCGGTGGTCCTTACGCTGGTCCCGTTCCGTGATCCCTTCCCTTGGTCGGTGGTCCTTACGCTGGTCCCGGTCCGTGATCCATTCCCTCGGTTGGTGGTTCCTACCCTCGTTCCGGACCGCGACCACTTCCTTCGTCGGTGGTCCTCACCCTGGTCCCGGTCCGTGACCTTCACGTGCAGCAGCTTCAGGCCGGGGTGGGCCGCCTCGCTGGCCGTCACGTTGTAAACCGACCGCTCGAACTGAGGCGCGTTGTCGTTGACGTCCGTGACGTTCACCGTGACCGGCACAGAGGTCACTGACCCCGTGACCCGGTCCGTGGCCGACACCATCAGCTCGTAGCGCGGCCGGGTCTCGTAGTCCAGCTCACCAGCCACGTACAGAACGCCTGGGACATCGCGCATGAGTCGATACTCTTGCAGTTTGCCCAGGACGGGTCTGGCCAACTTCCCCGGGTGGTGACTTTCCAGACACTGGCGACGCGTATCCTCCTGATGGGCTTGACAGTTTCAAACTACGACAAACGCTTTGTCAAAACACCTCAACTAACCCAAAGTACTTCAAAAGGCACCAGCCGGTGTGTGCCGGCCTTTTCAGGTGGCCATGTCATGTGCCTGCCCGATACACACCGGTGGTGAAGTCTACGGCGAACATGGAGTCGACGGCCGGCTCTGTGAGCTGGAACACCAGGCTGGAGGCGGACGGGGCGTCCGCCTCCAGCGTCAGCACGGGCGTGCGCCGCTCGGCCGACTCGGCCACGCGGGCCCAGTAGTGTGGCTGGGAGAAGCGGGGCTGACTGCCGTCCACGGTTGTCACCAATACCTCCGCCTCCGAGGAGAGGGGAGGCGAGCCTGTCATAGAGACGGACAGCGTCACCAACGGTACCTCCGAGGAGAAGGGAGGAGATCCTGTCGCAGAGACGGACAGCGTCACCAGCGGTACCTCCGAGGAGAGGGGAGAAGGGGGCCTGTCACAGAGACGGACATCTGTGATGGAGAGGGCACGCGGTGTCACCAGCTGCACTTCCGACACGGAGACGGTGGACACGGGAGGGGCGTCGGTTATAGAAACTCGGGCATTGTCACCATCGGTACATATAACAAGTCGAACCACCACTCAACCGTTCGCAGCGATTCAACTGCCCAGGCTAAGGGCACTGACAATGTTCACGTAAAAAAGAACAGATAGAAGATGGGTTCCTAACGAGTTAGAACAACACAAAAAACCACAACACAAACAGGCCATATGCTGATTGTCATTGATAATCCGTTAATGAGAATGCTATTGCAAATCTGAGACTTGTCTCACCATCAAGTGGTGTGCTAAGCTCTACAGAGCGACAGCGCATTGAGCCCTGTCATGTGAGCATGAATTTCGGCATTGAGCAAATGTGAGTAAAGAAGAAAGCTCAAGCAGATTTGCAACTCAATTTCTGCGAGGCAAGAAAGGCAGAAGGACCTCATTAATAGTGTTGTGCTTTCAAGTTCCAGTTTATCTAACCTCGAAATATTCAACCACTCCTCCAGCCAGAGACAGTTCCAGAAGGGCGTTCAGAAAGTTCCGTCAGGTTGATGGATATTCTTTTTTTTGTCAAAGCTAAACGTGTTTGGCATTCAGACTGCCTAATGGTGAAGCAATATGTGATCACATGCTGTTGTTGCAAGGCTGCTATCGACGCCACAACACTAACATTCGAGTGCTGGCTGCGTTGTGTGGTAAGAGAATGGACTTAAAAATGAATGAAAACGACGATCCCAGCAATGGCATATCCCTAAAAACATGCAGGCAAAATAAACGCATTTTCAGCGGGGAAAAACACACTTTACATTGCCACATTCCAAACAGCACAGCGGAACTGCCGCACACGTTGGTGACCTGCCTACCTCCGTCGTAGGCAGTGACGACCAGCCTGAAGGCGGTGTCGAGGCCGCGCGGCGAGCGGCGCAGCGTCACAGCCCCGCTCAGCAGGTCCACCGCGAACAGGTCACCGTTGCCCCGCAGCAGGTCATAGTGCACCCGGCCGTTGTCGCCCAGGTCAGCGTCGATCGCCGTCACCTGCGACCCCAGCGCGTCACAGAGTGGCGCATGACGGCGGGGAGTGACGCGCCAAATGCCGCGTCATATCACGGCATTACGCGTCGTGGCATGGCCTCTCACATTATGATGTTATGCCAGACTATATCATGTCGCATCACCAACGTTCTTTCTAACGTCCTGTCACAAAACACGATATTATGTCATGATTAAGACGGCTTTACGTCCATCACTAGTGCGAATCGTAGCCTATTGGAAGTGCTTTGCATGGGACAAACCCTTCACGGTAGCCAGACGTCTCCAAAATGATCTTCGAGTGGAAATGACCAGTCCGCCCCTGCTCAGTGTTCTCACCAGTCAGCCCCTGCTCAGTGTTCTCACCAGTCAGCCCCTGCTCAGTGTTCTCACCTTGGTGACTGGAGCTTCGACCAGTAGCAACCAGCCAGCCCCTGCTCAGTGTTCTCACCTTGGTGACAGGAGCTCCGACGGTGGCCTCGACGGGCACGACGGCGTGATACGGCTGGTTGACGAACACGGGCCGGTTGTCGTTGTCGTCCATGACGGTCACGTGCAGCAGCGTGTGCGCCACCCGGCCGTCCCTGTCGCTGCGCACCTCTACGGCCAGCACGTGCTGCTCCTGCTGCTCCCGGTCCAGCGCCACACCCGTGGTGCGCACCACGCCAGCCGTCTCGCTGATGCTCTGTGGGGGACACCGTCACAAGAGGATCACTCACAGAGAGACAGTTCCGAACAGCGCCCGCCGTCTTGTTGCACGGTGGGATGGACTGACTCAAAGGCTGTCCATACAACTGTATAGGCGGGGCTGACTCGTTAATATGCTGTCAGACCAGATGAAAGCCACCGTTATTGGAACAGCAGATGGCACAGAATGGACTGACCACGGAGCGCTTCGACCTTTCAGAAACGCTCCTCCCAGAACGGTGGGCAATTCGGCCTTGAAGCCATGGAACCCGCCAGTACAATTCGCGGGGGATTTTCCCGCCAAAGCCAGTGGTAACTATGGCGAGTCAGTCAGATCCCGCGTCACGACTACGAAAACATATTCAGAGTTCGAGGATTCAACTGGTTAATATTCTGCAGTAGTCGGCTGTAAAGCCGTTATCAACCAAAGCGCAAAACTGAGGCCGCACAAGCTAGTGGGATGAATGGGATCGTAACGTTAATAAAACGTCAACGCACACTTCCGAACCAAGTCATGTTCAGGGCAGGCCTCTGAACGGTGCGGTCATAACAGTGCAGCGAGTAGTCCATGAACCTGGTGTGGTGGCGGTGCAGAACAGCGTCGTAATGCTTCACATAAATGTAAAACCTTGGCGAGTGATCTGCTCCGATATGCGAGTTAGCTCTGCCCCAACACCATACATACGTCACACCGGGGGCTTCAAAAGCTTTTTTGCGGCATCAGCGACGTTTAAAACGACGCCCCTTGGATCATTTACCCCAGTTGTCGGCCGTTGAAACGCCCCCAACAATAGGCGTCATATAACGTTCAGAACCGACGCTAGAGAGCCAGCATCTTATAAACAAGGAATTCGGTGCCTTGGAACTAGCGACTGATCAGTGCTTGTCGGCTCTGTGCTCAGATGAGCAGAAAATCGCGATTCCAAATAGCACCTTTCAGGACCCACAAACGTCGGTAGCATTTACAAGCACTACTACGTCGCACCGCATAAGCCTACGGAGTCCATGTTAGAAGCCACATTTTGACAATGTGTCGCAAAATCAGGAATTATTGCCTCTCAGCGAGATATACGGACCAGCACCGTCCACCCTGGACATACACACTGGACACAACACCCACTAAAAGCCGTCGGTGATGCCAAATGCTCGGACGACCACCACCTCGCGCCATCACTTACGAAGTACTCGGAGGGGTTGAGGATGCGGAAGGCGAGGTGCTCCATCAGCTGGTTGCCCCGCACGGACAGCGAGGCCACGATGTCGACGCGAGTCGTGTTCTCGCGCACGGTGCCGTAGAACTGGTCGCTGGAGAACACCAGGCCACGACTGGCCACCTGGCGGCTGCGCACCAGCACCAGGGCGGCGGCGCGGTGCGGCCCGTCCGACGCGTGCACGGTCACGTTGGCCAGCGGCGGCACCGTCTCACCGCGCAGCAGGCGCAGCGAGCCCGTGTCGGCGGCCAGCGAGAACAGCGCCGCGTCGGCGCCCGTCAGCGAGTAGCTGGGGACGGGGCAGACGGTCAGCGAGCAGCTGGTGACAGGGCAAGGAGTCAGCGAGTAGCTGGGGACGGGGCAGAGGGTCAGCGAGCAGCTGGTGGCAGGGCAAGGAGTTAGCGAGTAGTTGGGGACGGGACAGAGGGTCAGTGAGTAACTGCGAACGGGACAGGGGGTCAGCGGGTAGCTGGGGACATGACAGAGGGTACAACGCAAACGTTCTTCGCGTCGCAGATACAACGCAAACGTTCTTCGCGGTATGACCCAAGCAATATCACATGAATTGCCTGGTATTCCGCGTGTCTGGGTTGGAGGCCTGCACTGTTACCTGGTGTTCTGTGTGCCCGGGTCAGAGGCCTGCGCTGTTACCTGATCTTCTGCGCGTCCAGGTAGGAGACTTGCACTGCTACCTGGTGTTCTGCGTGTCTGGGTCGGAGGCCTGCACTGTTACCTGATATTCTGCATGTCCGGGCCGGAGGCCTGTATTGTTACCTGATGTTCTGCGTGTCCGGGTCGGAGGCCTGCACGGTGCCGACCTCCACGCCGTCGTAGCTGGGCGTCAGCACGGTGAAGTTGTACTGCGCGTGCGCGAAGCGGGGCGGCTCATCGTTGACGTCGAGCACGGCGACGGTGACGCGGGCCGGCCTGGCCGCCTGCAGACGGGGCTGACCGCGGTCCCAGACGTCCACCGTGAACTCCAGCTGGGACCGGCTCTCGTGGTCCAGCGCGCCGGCCGTCCTCAGAGCACCTGTGCAGCACACGCGTTAGCGGACGGAGCCGGTACAGCCCGAGGCCGGACACAGACTCCAAACCAGCACATGAGCCGCGACAGTGTTCAGTTGCCTCGCACCGCCGGCACGCTCCGGCCACTCTCACCGGAGTCGGGGTCGATCTGCAGGAACTGGCGGGCGGCCGTCTCCACGATGCTGAACAGCAGCCGGCCGTTGCTGTTGTCGTCCAGGTCAACAGCGGCCACCACCAGCGGCCGGCCGTCGTCGGCCAGCACGGCCGAGCCGACCGGCGCCGACTCGCGCACCCGGCCGGCGTAACGTGGCCGCGCCAGCCGCGGACGGTTGTCGTTTACGTCCAGCACGTGCACGATGACGCTCGTGTGGGCCACCTCGCCCACCTGGAGGGGACGGCACACAGGTCAGCCGGGGTCAGTTAGAGGTCAGGGTTTGATGACGTTCGCGTGGGCCACCTCACCAACCTGGAGGGGACGGCACACAGGTCAGCCGGGGTCAGTAGGGGTCAGGGTATGATGACGCTCGTGTGGAGGGAACGGCACGCAGGTCAGCCGGGGTCAGTAGGGGTCAGGGTATGATGACGCTCGTGTGGAGGGGACGGTACGCAGGTCAGCCGGGGTCAGTTAGAGGTCAGGGTATAATGACGCTCGTGTGGAGGGGACGGTACACAGGTCAGCCGGGGTCAGTCAGAGGTCAGGGTATGATGACGTTCGTGTGGGCCACCTCGCCCACCTGGAGGGGACGGCACACAGGTCAGCCGGGGTCAGTAGGGGTCAGGGTATAATGACGCTCGTGTGGAGGGGACGGTACACAGGTCAGCCGGGGTCAGTTAGAGGTCAGGGTATGATGACGTTCATGTGGGCCACCTCGCCCACCTGGAGGGGACGGCACACAGGTCAGACGGGATCAGACCTCTGGTTATAATGCCGCTCGTGTGGGCCACCTCATCCGACAGAGGAGATGGTCACAAGTGAGATGTGCGTTGGAGGCCACTGCGTAACGGCACACGATTAGGGTTCTTCACCCGCTTGTGGAAATAGCACAACTTGAGACAGTGTGGAGATCATGCTCCTACAAATGGGGCAGCAAATGCCATTTAAAAGTCATCAGGATATCAATGTATGGTGTCGGTCACCAAAGCTAACCCACGCACTTGACAGCATCATTGGCACGTCTGGTAAGTTCCGCCCGCCTATCCGTCCAGTGAACTGAGCGCCAACGAGCGTTGGGACTTGGAATTCCAAAACCGCCAACGAAGTTCTCACCATGCTGACGGCCTGTACGGACAGGTTGTACCAGGTGCGGCGCTCGTAGTCACGCGAACTCTCACCATGCTGACGGCTTGTATGGACAGGTTGTACCAGGTGCGGCGCTCGTAGTCGAGTCTCTCGCTGACGGTGAGCACCCCGGCGCCAGGGTTCAGCAGGAACGAGCCGTCCTCATTGCCTCCCACCAGACGGTAGGTCACTGAAGTCCGGCAGTGGGCCACCACGTCCAGCACGTGGGAGCCCTGGGGCCTGTCCTCCTCCACCTCAGCGCCGTACTCTGCCTGCAGCAGTGGACACGGACAACACGTCAGCGCCCCCGGAGTTCTGCAGTCCTCCACCTCAGCACCGCACTCGGCCGGCTACGGTCCATAACGTGAGAAGGCATTTCAGATACGCTAGTGGCCGACGCAGCTATCTGAGCCGTGCACACAAAGCCAATGAGCTCTGCAGATGACGTCCAATGTAGCCTGCAGGGGCTTTCGTCTGGAGGATCTTTTTCCATCCTCGCCATCCTTTCATCCCACTCTCCTTGGCCAGAGCTCCTTTCATCCTATAGTCAGCGCCGTGGACGCCGACGCATTGTTCCCCATAGCTGAAAACAGCCTCTGCCAATGCGGCATCAGATGGCCTATTGATCTTGCGAACGGAAACAGGGAAGTCTTCGAGCTGAAAAACTTCCCCTTGAAGATTAGATTTACAAACGAAGTTTCTGATAACTTCCTGGCCTGTCAGAAGGCCCGTCGCCCGGCACCGGCGGATAAAAATGTCAGCCGCAGAAGACGAACAGATCGCGGACCATTCAGCTCGCTGCGATTACGGCGCTCTGTCTCCCGACGGCCAACTCGGCGCAGCAGGCGGCAGACTGCGGACGTGGCTTTAAAACTGACTTCGGAAGCCGTCCGCGGCGTCCATACTATGCGCGTGCGTACGGTTTCCATTGTATTTTTCACCGGGAATACCAGTGGATTCGAAAGCCATCTGGTCAGAATATTCCTTACATAATTTAACACGTCAGAAATTAGCCATGTTCAGTGACGACAGGTCAACAGCGTACCACCATTCATTTAAGTTTATCGAAGTTTATAGGGGTTGTTCCCAGGGAGCCAGCCAATAAAGAAAAGAGGACATGCTCGGGAGCAGCGCGTTACTCTTTAACGTTTCACGTCGAAATTGTTCTGCATTTCTTCGCTGCATTACTCCATGTTGATCATTCGCAGTGGATAGGGTTGGACTGAAAGCTCAAACCAGTTGAGCTTCCGTCGCTCCCATATTCACATCACAGTCAAATAGTTCCCAAATATGCACAAGCTCCGCCGCGCGCGTCTGAGCAACAGCTGCGGCATCTGTACGGTGGTGAATATTCTCCGCCGCAAGCGACGTGGGCCGTAAAGAAATAACGATAGCAACTCTGGAGTAGCTACTTGCAAGCAAGCTCTGGTCTCTGCCCATCGCCGACTATTTCAAGAGTCTTGCTAAGATAGACTCCCCTTACGCATTTTGGTATGGCCTCGCGAATGCTGAAATATCCGTCAGGGGAAATCGCACACGACGGCTGGTTCGGTCACGGCCACGGACAAGCCGATTTCGATTAGTATGACCGACAGCCAGGCGATTAGTCTATTCAGCGCAACATATCATGCCTTTATCCGTTCTCAAAGTGACAGATTTCCATGGAAAAAGCTGAAAGCATATCCTTCCACTCGAAGCGCGATCCAGTACCACGTGAGCCCGTTGTTTGAGCCCAACAGGGGAAGAACACTGCAACTCTCCAAGGGACCACTTGCGCTGTCAAAGAGTACACTGCACGCGCTGGCTCTCACTTGGTCCTCGCGACGGAATACGATAAAAAAAACACTGTTCCTGATCCACACTCGTCCCTTGCCGCCACCACGACCGCGCAAAAGCAGCCCCGGGTGAGAGGGTGCCGACTAGCGGGGATGGGCGCGGCGCCTCTCACAGCCACCGACGACCGCGCAGAGTCACCCCGGGTGAGAGGGGGCCGACAGGCGGGGATGGGCCACGGCACCTCTCATCGCCGCCGACAGCCACACGGAGTCACCCCCGGGTGAGAGGGGACGACTCGCGGGGATGGGCCGCGGCGCCTCTCACCGCCGTCGACAGCCGCGCGGAGTCACCCCGGGTGAGAGGGGGCCGACTGGCGGGGATGGGCGCGGCGCAGCTCGCGGCTCCTGACAGACCTTGAGAGGCCAGTAATGCGGCAATTTGAGCATCGATTAACAATCGGCCTGACCGTCGGCCGCACTTGGCTCGTAAAAGGCTTCTCATGCCCGGCGACGACGTTCATTGTTCGTTTCACGTTCGGCCAGCGAGAAACCGTTAATCAGCCCGAGAAAAGTGCGGAGCTCGCTAGGAGCTAGCTGGTTGAGAACGCCAGAACGTTCAACAAAAGGATGTTTGCGGTAGCATTTGCGTCAACTAGAAATCGAGATAGCATTCCATAGCGTATGTAATTAGGCAAAACGAACTCATGCATAATTTGTTCGGTGACACATCACTTCACTGAAATAAACAGCATCTTAAGAAAAGGTTTGCAGACCTTGACCGTGCGATTTTTAACTCTAGTATTTTGTAAGCCTTCATATTGCTGTACCTAAACGATTTTTTTTGCAGACCTTTGCCACACAAGTGAAAATTCCAATCTGTGGTAAGCCTGCAGCCTAGATCGAATTCGAGGGAATTTAACAGCAACTAATCACAAAAACGACCACAAGTTATCACAGCTGTAATGAAATCCTTAGTTAACTCGGTCACGAAATCTGATAAAATGCACAATCATCAGCCTTTGCCAGCTCTGATGACATGTAATATTAATCAATTACCGGCTACTAAAGCTAGGGCAAACTCAAAACACCTCCTCAAGCATGACATCTCACTGACCACAAAACCGCGGTCTACCCTTAACTGCTGTCCGCCGTAGTGCCATGCGGTGCGCACAGACCTTCTCAAAGCCGGGCGGTGCGCAGTGCTTCTCGAAGCGGGGCGGTGCGCACTGACCTGCTCGAAGCGGGGCGGTGCGCACTGACCTTCTCGAAGCGGGGCGGTGCGCACAGACCTTCTCGAAGCGGGTCGGTGCGCACTGACCTTCTCGAAGTGGGGCGGTGCGCACTGGCCTTCTCGAAGCGGGGCGGTGCGCACTGACCTCGAAGCGGAGCGATGCGCACTGACCTTCTCGAAGCGGGGTGGTACGCATGGCCCCCTCGAAGCGGGGCGGTGAGCGCTGACCTGCTCGAAGCGGGGCGATGCGCACTGACCTTCTCGAAGCGGGGCGGCGCGTTGTCGGGCAGCGTGACGAGCACGTTGACGTGGACGTCGCCGTGCAGCGGCGGCCGGCCGGCGTCGCTGGCGCGCACCGTTAGGATGTACTCGCTGGCGCGCCGCTGGTCCAGCCCGGTGGCCACCGAGATGGTGCCCAGCACCGGGTCCACCGCGAACGCGTTGTCCACGTTACCTGGCGGCGGCGGACGTAGACGTCAGGTGTTAGCGGAGTGCACCATACCACACGGAGACCAGGACGGAGGCGGGCAGGGATGCACAACCTGGCACGGCGATAGGATAACACACGCATAATGTACGCGCAGAAACCGAAATGGGTTAAGTATGGAGCTTACATAAGCAGGGACAGGCAAGGCTGGCGGCATTGTAGGACGATGTCTCTAAGCCGAACCGCAAGACCGACAGTGAAAACACGGGGAACAGCTACAAAAGATCGCTTAATTGCTCCGGTATGCAATCAAGTTGTATTTTTGTTTTTCTTTTCTTTTGTTACCGTTGAGCAAATGTATTGGAACCAATCATAGTAAACGCCTGTTGGCCAGACGAGTAAGACGCTTTCACTGCAGCCTTGAACTACAGCAATGTCAGAGTTCCACAGGTCAATTATCTGCCTCTAATGAACTATCAACAGGACCGCTTCATCTTCATCACAGCTCTGTAGATGAGCATCGGCCGTGATGGGAATTGATGAGCCGCGGTATTTGTTCGACAGATCCACTTTACTGATGCACATTGGGGGCGGGTGGCTGAACGCGACGCCGTTAAAAACAAGAGAACGACAGGATTGATGCATCGCATTAAAACAGCACCGAGGCGGCAGCAAGCTAAATTTCGCAGGCGGCGGAAAATTTACGGGCGCCAATAAACCAAAGAAACAGCGAGCCAAATTTCCGCAATGAAGAGAAACAAAGTTGGTTTCACCTCTGCAGTAACATGCTGTTGACAACCACACCCACTAAGTGAGGTAAATCAGAAAAATAATGAAATGGGGTGGTTCACTTAACTGCTGCACTTCTTAGCTGTTGACAACATACGTTACTTGGCAAAGATGCGAGGAAAATGTGAGGAAAGCGTAAAAGGTATGAGCGATAGCACTGGCGTCAACATTGGAACATTTGTCCGTTGTCTTTCCTCTAACCTTCGCTTATGCTAAAAATAATTCACTAATGAACTATCAATATAAAGCTTCCGACGAGCGCTGCGGCTGGAACGCAGCAGTATCAGCCCCAATTCTTGATCGGCCGGAAGACAGCAGTACCGGCCCCATCTCGAGATCCGCTGGAAGACAGCAGTACCAGCCCCATCTCGAGATCCGCTGGAAGACAGCAGTACCGGCCCCATCTCGAGATCGGCCGGAAGACAACAGTACCGGCCCCATCTCGAGATCGGCCGGAAGACAACAGTACCGGCCCCATCTCGAGATCGGCCGGAAGACAACAGTACCGGCCCCATCTCGAGATCGGCCGGAAGACAACAGTACCGGCCCCATCTCGAGATCGGGCGGAAGACAACAGTACCGGCCCCATCTCGAGATCGGCCGGAAGGCAACAGTACCGGCCCCATCTCGAGATCGGCCGGAAGACAACAGTACCAGCCCCACCTCGTGATCGTTGGGAAGGCAGCAGTAACGGCCCCATCTCGAGATCGGCCGGAAGACAACAGTACCGGCCCCATCTCGAGATCGGCCGGAAGACAACAGTACCGGCCCCATCTCGAGATCGGCCGGAGACAACAGTACCGGCCCCATCTCGAGATCAGCCGGAAGACAACAGTACCAGCCCCACCTCGTGATCGTTGGGAAGGCAGCAGTAACGGTCCCATCTCGAGATCGGCTGGAAGGCAGCAGTACCGGCCCCATCTCGGGATCGGCTGGCAGACAGCAGTACCGGCCCCATCCCGAGATCGGCTGGAAGGCAGCAGTACCAGCCCCTTCCTGAGACAAGCTGGAAGGCAGCAGTACCGGTCCCATTCCGTGATCGGCATTCAGGCACGTGCCATGCTTCCAGCACCCATGGACTGCCTCAAACCTTGCTACCGGCGACTGACAGAAGAGGTTCCCGAGATAACGCCTTCGGCCCAGGCAGAGCAGAAGAGCCAGCGGCCCCCTTGCACGGCGCCGGTAGACGCCAGCCCGCCACACTGGCGGGCTATCATGTCTGCTTCCCTGAAGTACCACCTATCGCGCGGATACGCCACGGGTTTATACGGAAGAGATTAGGGTAGACGAACGCGTTAATACTTTCGGATTGGATTGGACGGGTACGCTACCCGTCAGAGATCAGGTGCGAGGAAAATGTGCCCGTGTGGGTGTGCATGCGTGGGTGTGCGTGCACGCGTGTGGGTGTGCGTGCGTAGATGTCAATGTGCGCATACGCGTGTGCGTGCGCGCGAGTGTTCACTGTTCTCCGGTTAATCATGCGTTTGTGATCAAAACTCCGGATGCGAAAGAACCAAGAGCTATACCACTCATGCATGAGCTGTACGTATGACGGTGGTGATGATGGTGACGGTGCTTACCACACTAGAACCTCCCACCTACGCCAACCATTTCATACCAGCACCAAGTCTCACGGGTTCATCTCGCTGTCCAATCCCAGTGGTTGATCCCGCCAACCAGCCTCACCAGTTCATGTGATCGTAGTCTCACCCGGTGATCCTACCACTCATTCCCACTAGGGCAACACGCCCATGCATACCTTAACAGTTCGGCGCCCACTTCCGCCAGTACATCTAAACAGACAGTCCTACGAGCTTCTCCCATCAGCCAACACCAACACCGTGTTCCACCCATCACGGATTCACTAGTCCAGTCCAGCCCTCGATGCTCCTTGGTTTACCACTTCGCCGGACCTGTCCGGTTGGCGGTGTCCGCAATGGTTTGCTCTCGCCGTCCTACAAAGCGGAGAGCACCCCAACCGCGAGCGCAGCTTCAGCCAGACTAGTCTCCATGTCCTGCGTGTCCATCCCGCGTCACTCCATCCTGCGGGACGAGTACTCGAGAAACGTCAACATAACCATCACCGCCATGGAGAGCGCATTCATAAAGGACCTTGCCACACTGATGCAAACTCTGTGGAAGAGCTCAGATGAGGCTGACCGGGCGCTGACCACCCCTCATTGAAGGCACAGTTCCAGAAGCTCGCGGCGCGATTCATACGCTATCGACAACAGGCATTCCTCAAATACCTGCTGGAGCACTTGCATAAGGACGTTAACTGCATCAGCAACCAACCCAAACCCATAACCACCGCCATTAATGACACCCTCAGTGCCAGCCAAACTGGAGGCCTGGGAGCGTTCCGTGTTCCTGGAAAATTTCAAGTCCATTGACCTGTCCATCAGACCGCTCAGGTCCACGCTGCCGCGCACAGCCTGTGACCACGTGTCCACAACGTTCGACCCGTTCTGGGACCTGAGATCTGACCTGACCTGACTTATCGCCATAGCGGGTCCGGTGCGATCACAGGATTTTGTTTGACCTTTTCCCCAAGGAGGAGGGCTTGACTGAGAGGAAAAGCCGACGTGCTCCATGTGCCAGGAATGCCAGAAGTGGTCCAAAGACTTCCGGATTCGGAGGGTTGCACGCATCCTTGTACTGCATCTAAAACGGTTCTCGCTGCAGCAGCAAAAGAGGCAGGCTGAATACCAATGTCCACTTCTCCGCCAGTGGTCTGGCCCTGTCGCTACACTCTGCCACACATGGGGAATGCAAGTACAACCAAAACGACGGGATCAACCATTCTGGCGTGACGCACCCGGGCCACTTCACGGCCCACTGCAAATGACCCTTTTTGAGAAAATGATATGAGTATGATGACTTAAGAGTCCGGTCCATCCGTTCGCGCCGAGCCAACAACTGTGGACTATACATGCTGTTCCCCGAGCTCGCCAATCCCCGACCTGGTGCTGACCGAAACGCCAGAAATCGAAGGTGTTCGAGAGAGCCCACTCGGTTGCTGTTCCACAGTAGTTCCGCCAGCTGATCGCTTTTGCACTTACTAATTTTAGTCGCGTATCCGTGACCGAACACAAAACATTTCCAACTCAAGGAAGTTTCCATGCCAGCAACATTCTAGTGAGTCACATAAGCGTGAAAGAGGACCCCGACTAGACCGATGCCAATAGGCCGCGTGCCTGTTTGTGTTCATCCGAACTGGTCTCCCTGACCACGTACTGAGCCGCGGCAAGTTAAAGCAAGCCGAGCCGAAAACTGCAATGCCTCAAATGTCGCCAGACTCTCATTTTCAGGCACTGCCACACAATTGGGTAATTGAATCGGTCCATCGTTCAGCGCGCCAATGTGTTAGCAGAGGCGGGCGCTAACTTTCCAACGCTCCATTTTCCAATAGCACGCCGCGCGACCCTGATCGGATTAGTGTCCTCGTGACAAAATGTCAACCGTGGCCGGTCGTGCCGGGTAAGTGGCACTTGCAAAGCCAACACATGACGCCATCGCTGGCGCCGCAGGCTGTTAGGTGTGTCGAAAATGGTCCCGGAGCGCGAGGCCGGCGCGCGCCAAGTGACGCGGCGGAAGAGGCGGCCGTCCATCGGCTGTTGCGCAGCTGGACGGTGAGCGCCGGGTCTTCGGGATCACAAAGGAGCACGACAGCCTCAGCTTCGCTGCCGGTCGGCGCGAGACCTCGACCACCCCCTGAGCGAGAGGCGACCGTCGCCTGCTCGGATCCACGAGGGACCATGAGGTCCGTGCAGCCCTGTTCAGGTCCAGCGAACACTGCTGTCAGGTCAGCAGCCGGTCGACCGGCCCGGCTCGTCGTCTGACCCCGACGCTGGTGACTCCGCGGGGCGAGAGAGATCGTTCACCCGGGTCGGGGACGGCCGTCAGCAAATAGAAAAAGCACCCATGGAGCCCAGAGACATACCGATGAAACGGAGACCTGCCTTCAACAGAGAAGTCTGTTAACGGAGCGGGTAAGTACCGTCAAAATAACGGAGAGGGATCTTCAACGGGGCGAAGACTGAAAGCAGCAGCCGCTCCAACGGAGCGAGGCCTCCCGCCCCTCTGCAGACTTTCTAGACGTGTGTACGATATCCTCGAGAGCGGTCCGGAATCATCTCGAGCTCCTCTCAGCGACACTTTCTGCACTCACATTCGTCACTGACAGGATAATGCGATCAGCTACCACCTCCTCCCCCCCCCCCCTTCGTCAACCCCGCTGACGACTATGCCGCACATCAGGCCATCACCACGGCGAACATCAACGGCGCCGTCTGCATCTCGAAAATAGCCGGTAAATCGGGTTTGTGGGCGTCGGCCATCAAGGCCGGCATCGGCTGGAGCACTCGGTGGGCGGCGAAGCGCGTTCGCCGACGGAGTGGTGCAGCTGAGGGGGAGGTGTTTGCACAGGAGGTGTCTGGAGACATGAGGTGGGTTGGGGCCAGCACAGCCGGGCTGGTATCCCGTTGTGGAGTGCTCAAGTGTCACATTTCTCCGTTCGGAACACTGTCGATCAGCGGACGCTGAGAAAATGAAACGTGCGAAACATGGCGTTGTCTGCGAGGCGTGTGCACTGTTGAGAAACCGATTGGTTCATTTTACGCTCTCCTCAACGTAAGCCATATGGCTTTGTTTTTACCGCATTTCAGATGATGTACTACACCAAGAGGAATGACACCTTCAACCAGTGACTCTTATTTCATTTGACATGCGTAATGATGTGAGTTGGTCTGCCAAGGGCTTATCGTGGAACATGATGATAGGAAGTGTTGGGAGAAGAGTGAACCAAAAACAAGTTGACTTCACCGCTGCATCAGATAATCGATAATCAGACGGTAAGCGAACCACTCGTGGAGGATGATCAAGACATGCCCGGCATTATGGAGCGAGGACACCTGCCAGAATAAGAGAGGAGGCCTATGTATGCCAAGCAACATGGAAAATCATACCTGATGGTTTGAGGTGGGTGGCAGGATTAATACATTATACCTAACAGCCGTTTACGTATGCCTAATGCGTGACCGTGTAGGCCGAACGAACCTGAGAGTACGGGGTGGATGACCCGGGCGTACCTATGCCTGACAGTGCGGAGGCAGCATGCCTGACAGCGTGCAGCGGGTGACCATAACACAGCTGACAGTGCGGATGTAACATGCCTTGCAGTATGGTGCCGATGACCACGACATGCCTGCTAAAGCGGAGTTGGCATACCCAGAGGACGTGGCCGGCGATCAGGGCACGCCTAACAGTCCCTTGTCAGGGGCCTGATCACGGCATCCCATCAGGAAGTGGGCATACCTGGCAGCACGGTGTGGATGACCACAACAGACGCGACGTCACATCGGGGTGGCCTACCTGACAGTATGGAGTAGGTGATGCGGGCGTTCTGGCCATGGTCGCGGTCGGTGGCCAGCACGGTGACCACCTGCCAGCCGACCGGCGCCGTCTCGTGCACCTGGCCCACCACCAGGTCGCTGAGGAACTGCGGGCGGTGGTCATTCTCGTCCTGCACGTGCACCAGCAGGCGGGCGTAGTCACGGCGCGCCGGCGTGCCCTGGTCCCGCACCGACACCGTCAGCACGTGCTCGTGCTCCGTCTCCCTGCGGCCGAACGGGTGAGACGTGTCAGCCGCTGTCTACTTACGTTGTGTAGCATATACTAGTTCGTTATACGATTGGACAGCACAGCATGAGGGGTGGTTAAGAACACGGTGGCATCGTGCCAGAATACAGTCAGGAGGAGGAGGAGGAGGAATTCGTTGTCAAGTTGTAGGACGGCGCAACTGCAAACACCGCGGTCACTCTGACAACAGAAACAGGCACGGGGGCACTCAAGGCCACGCTCACGCGGTAAGGTAAGATGGTAACATATTGTCAGACACAACCTGCAAAAAAGCGAAACGGAGCTGGCTCGCGTTGTTCCATGTGTGCGTTGTAACGCGTCGCGTTGCAGCATGACCAGGAAAGAGATACCTCACCACATTGTGAGAGAGCCGCCTTTGCGTTGAGACTTAATCCCGGGTGTCCCGAAATGGCAGGAAAAAGGAGGTAAAACAGAGACAGGCGTTTTCGCAGCTGCACAGACACGATGAACAGAATATTGTTTCGGTGATCACCCACAGGTTCACACTGACCTCAGCGCAGTGACCCCAGCCTCGGCTCTCGCCTGATTTGACAGGTGTCGCTGGCAGGACCGACGTCAGTCATCCCGAGCGCCTGTCGGCTCAGCCTAGCTGTCCGCCCTGGCGCAAATAACCAGTGCAGTTGCCGCGCCTTCAAAATTCAATAACTAACTGGCTATCCGCCTAAGAGCGCCACGGTGAACTGGTCGGTCTCGGCCACGGTGACGTGACTGACCCAACTGATGACTTCATCTGTCCAGTCGTCCGGCCACGGTGACCTGACTGACCCAACCGATGACCTCACCTGTCCAGTCGTCCGGCCACGGTGACCTGACTGACCCAACCGATTACCTCACCTGTCCAGTCGTCAGGCTACGGTGACCTGACCGACCCAAACCAATGACCTCACCTGTCCAGTCGTCCGGCCACGGTGACCTGACTGACCCAATCGATCACCTCACCTGTCCAGTCGTCCGGCCACGGTGACCTGGCCGGTCATGGGGTCGATGCTGAACAGACGGAGAGAGCGGTCGCTCTGCGCCGCCTCCAGTCCGTAGTAGAGCAGCGCCTCGCCGTCCGGGTCGGCGGCGCTCACCGTCAGTAGCCGGTCACCCGGCTCGGCCGCCTCCGACACGTTCACGGCGTACAGGGCGCGCTCGAACGCCGGATCCCGGTCGTTCACGTCCAGCACTGTGATCCGCAGCTGGCGGCGGACACGGTGAACACACCGTGAGACACGCACCGAGACTGTGATCCGCAGCTGGCGGCGGACACGGTGAACACACCGTGAGACACGCACTGAGACTGTGATCCGCAGCTGGCAGCGGACACAGTGCACACACCGTGAGACACGAATCGAGACTGTGATACGCAGCTGGCAGCGGACACAGTGCACACACCGTGAGACACGAATCGAGACTGTGATACGCAGCTGGCGGCGGACATGGTGAACACACCGTGATACATGCACTGAGACTGTGATCCGCAGCTGGCGGCGGACACGGTGAGCACTCCGTGAGACACGCATCGAGACTGTGATCCGCAGCTGGCGGGGGACGGGGACAAGCCGTATCACACGCATCGTAAGACATGGGTCACGATTGGCGACATAAACCAGCTGCGAACTCAAAAGCATGTGTGGGCGAGCGGCGTACCGTGCCGTACACCCACGTATCCGTCAAGAGAGCCTCGGCCAAATCGAGGGGGCCTCCTCATTAGCAGGCGTCCTCCGTGACAAGGGGAACACATGGGAAGATGCGTCAGCGGGCCACCAGACAGTACGGGCTTCTGCTTGTCCCACGGACCATAACTAAGCCTGGTAAGAGGTGCTATTGCGCGAGAACACCCCCGCTGCGCACCCAGCTGTCCACGAAACTGATGTCCCAGAGATATCAGCGTTGAAACCATAAGCCAGCGCTAACCTGCTTTAAAACGGTAGAAGGCGAGCGAGTAGCCCGATAAAATCGTTGTGGCAGGAACTGCGACTCACGTGTGAGTGGGTGTTATGCCCTTGACTGTTAATAGTGCGTCCGCATGTAGATTTTGCTCATGCACCTTTCGGCTTGTGATTTAATAGCCATTGTTTCTTTGGATCGCCCTTAAAACGTGCATGCATGCATGCAATACAAGGCGGGCGATCGAAGGGGTTATATGGTCAAAATCAGAGCGCACCTATAGCAGTCTCGTCCCCGTATTACAGGAATATTATGCACGCTACACCTAACGCATGTATCCAAGTACAAATATCGATACACGCTCACAACAGACGGGCATTCCGTACACAGTTTTCAAGTCACGTGACTGGCCAGAGGACCGGCTTGGCTGCGAGTGAGACTGGGCAGCGGCCGGTCCGGACCGGACCGTAATCACGAGTCCGTTGGTTGGCAGCGGCCGGTCCGGACCGGGCTGTAATCACGAGTCCGTCGGTCTGGACAGCGGCCGGTCCGGACCGGACCGCAATCACGAGTCCGTCGGTCAGCAGTGGCCGGTCAGGACCGGGCCGTAATCACGCGTCCGTCGGTCGGCAGCGGCTAATGAACGCAGAGTACGCACAGCGAGGCTGAGCACGAGAGTCAAGGTCTCGAGGGCACTCCGGAGCTTAAGTGCCAGAGTCAAGCTGGGCACAGGAGTCAAGGCCTCCAGGGCACTCAGAAGCTGAGCACGAGAGCCAAGGTCTCGAGGGCACCCCGAGGCCGATTACGAGATTTGAGGCCTCCACGGCACTCCGAAGCACGACGCGGCGGCATTGCGATGAGTCGACAGTCGAATTAGATTATGTCGCCCATGAAATGAGGACGAACTGCACCTCGCGGACAATTCGACCGATACGTTAACTTGCAATTAACTGCGTCTAATGCGACGGAAGATGACCCATCTTCAGAAGAGCATACCACGCGAGGTGTTCCCCCCATACGTTCGAAATATGAAATGGCTCCAGAAAATATAAAACAAATGTAAAGCAACTGAATCAATTATATTCGATTTCTCTAGGTAAACAGAACGAGCCGTATTGGAATATGGTGATGGCAAGAAAGAGTCAATGATACCCCTTGATGCCCGAATCATTGATGACTGCCGACCCGGTCGATCAGCGATATGAGATAGCTTGTTTCAAGCTAATTACTCAACCACAGGGCCAATTCCCGTCATAATTTGGAAATGTTTTATTAACCAAGTACATATGCATGAATGAACACACAGCTATGACCAAGC